TGGGATAGGCAAGAAAAGGAACAGAAATAATTGTGGATGGAATACTGGGGGGTTTATTGTAACTTGTAGACTTCAAAAAAAAAAGAACAATGTAATCATGTGTTTGAGGGTTATGGTAAACAAAGAAGGGAATAGCTGAACAACTTGCAGAGGAGACAGTGGAAGATAAACCCCCAGACTTCCACAGCTCACAGGACAGAAACAAATGGGAGAAAACAGAAACCAAGTAAGGTCTGCAGAGAATGAGAGGTACGTCTCAGTCTAATGCCAGGGGAGAGACAGACCTGCCTTTTCATTTGTACAACTAAAGAGGACCTCAGTGTACTGGCTATTTCTCCTACTCTCTTCTCAACCACAGGACAGCTGAAGGAATAGACATAATACTGTAGATTGGGGTAAGAACTGTTCTACCACTGAGGTAAACCTTTGAGGTTTACCTCAAAGTCTTTGAGGCACTGAAGGTGAATTTGTTTTAGAATTAAAAAAAAATAAATGTGCAGAATGTGCCATTTTCCCCGGTACTCCAGGTTTAGGGAGATGGGGAAGAGCAAAGTCCTTTTCCTGCCGTCCAGCTCACCATCAGCACGAGGGTATGCATGGGTATAGTCACAGAAGCAGAGAGTGCATTAGCCCACTTGAGCGCATGACTCCACTATGAGTGTTATGGCAACAATATTTGTGAGGTGGCACTGTGGTTCTGGCACAGCACCTTCACAAATTAACACAGGCTTTTGCTGTGCATGTCTAATGTGTTTTCTGCAATGCATTCTGTAAAAGTCTCTACAGAGTGCCTGAGGCTGGCAGGCACCTCTGGAGATACCTACTCCAACCCCGCTGCTCTGAGTTGCTGAGAGCCATGACTCGTTGGATTTTGAATATCTCCAAGGATGGAGACTCCATAGCCTCTCTGGGCATCCTGTTCCAGTGTTTAACCACCCTCACAGTAAAGAAGTTTTTCTGATGTTTAGGTGATATCCCAGTCAGGTTCCTGGCCTTTATGTTTGGAAATGGCTTCCAGGGGAAATTGCTCCATCACCTTCCCACAGATTGAGGTGAGGCTGACAAACCCATAATTTCACAGATCCTCTTTCTTGCCCTTCTTGAAGATGGGAGTGACATTTGCTTTCTTCCTCTGCTCAGGAACCTCTCTTGGTTGCCATGATCTTTCGAAGACAATTGAGAGTCACCTCACTGACACCAGCCACCACCCTCAGCACCCATGAGTGCCTCCTATCATGTCCTATGAGCTTAAGTACATCCAGTGTGTTTAAGTGCTCTCCAACCATGTCTTCCTCCACAGGGATCAGCCTTCCTTGCTCTGGACTTTCCCTTTGGTATGGCTGAAGGTCAGTCTTACCTCTAAAGACCAAGACAAATAAATACCTCGGGCTTTTCCATGTCCTCTGTCATGGGGAGAAGGGTCGAGTATCTAGGTAGAATGTTTACCAGAGCTGAACATTTTGTACTGAGTTACTATTAGCTTCCCAAGTAGGGTTGCCTTTTATCACTGCCATGACTCTTGCCAATTTGAGGGAGCAAGCTAAGCAATACTCAGTAAGCTGCCCTTCCAGTTAGTGGTGGCAGTCCCAGCATTCAGGTATAACACTGTTCTGTAAACCCTGCAGCGTCTTACCTATCCTACCAAGGAAGGACTAATGGCTCTTTGTCATAATTAGTCATTCCCACTAGGCTTAATTTCCTTAAGTAATGTATTGGGTTTGCGTGGCAAGGTTTTGGTAGTGGGGGGGCTACAGAGGTGGCTTCTGTGAGCAGCTGATGGAAGCTTCCCCTGTGTCCGACAGAGCCAATGCCAGCCGGCTCCAAGACGGACCCGCTGCTGGCCAAGGCCGAGCCCGTCAGCAATGGTGGCAGTGCCCCTGGGATAATATATTTAAGAAAATGAAGAAATCAAAGAAACCCTGGGGCATTTGCAGACCAAGAGAGGAGTGAGAATCTGTGAGGGGAGCAGCCCTGCAGCCGCCCAGGCCGGTGCCGCAGGAGGGGCAGGAGGGGCTCCAGGCGCCGGAGCAGAGATTCCCCTCAGCCCCTGGGGCAGCCCATGGTGGGGCAGGCTGTGCCCCTGCAGCCCAGGGAGGCCCACGGGGGAGCAG